GTCAGTCATATAAGTCCATACCACAGGACATAACCACACAAATGGTTGAAAATTCACACACTCTCAAGTCAGTAGACCAGAGTTTTTTGACCCCATAAATTTCAGATCTCTGATTCCATGGCAGAAATCTCTCTCTCTCTCTCTCTCTCTCTCTCTCTCTCTCTCTCTCTCTCTCTCTCTCTCTCGCCCCACGCCACCCTTTTTTTCTTGTACTGGTGATTGAACTCACGGGCCTTCACATTGAGCTACATCTCCAGCCCTTTTTATTTTGAGACAGGGTGTAGCTAGGTCACTGAATTATCTCGGCTGGGCTTTAATTTATGATCATCATCACTCTCAGATATCCCGCCTTCTTGTTAACGCTGCCTGCAGCTTGGGCCTCTGGCCTATACCAGTTCCCGCCCTTTCACGGCGAAGGAACGAACAGACCAAGTCGTGCTTTCCTCGCGGACCCTATCCCAGAGAAAGTGAAGCTACCACTAATAGAAAGAAGGAAGTGCCTTTTGCAGTAAAATTGTCTTGGGCCGCGAAGGGTTGTGGGAAATGTAGTCCCCAGCAAGAAAGCGGCGATCTATTTAGAGTCTTCTGAGCATCAAATCACATTCCCAGGCTCAGCGTGCGGAGCTTGAGCGAAGCCGCTCCTGCAAAATCAGAAGGTGATCCTTAGACGCCGCGGCTGGCATCCTCACAGCTGGCACGCAGGAAGGCCTTTGCACCCGGGTGAGCCGCGGGGCGCTCTGGGAAGTGTTGTCCGGCGCCTAGCGGACCCGCGCCGAGTCGCCCTCGGCCGCAGCTGCCGCCGGCCCCCGCTGCGCCTCGTCGGAGGCTCCTTGGGCCGTGCCACTCCGGGGGCGTTCAGGTGTGGAGTCGGGGCGTGAGTCCGCAGGCTCGGTAGTGAGTCCCTGGGACTCTCTGTGCTGGGCAGGAGTGTGGCCGGAGGAGGAACGCCGAGCGGGAGGCGGCTTCGCGGCGGCTCGGGAGGCCGTGGGAGTGGCGCGCGAGGACGGAGCGCCGGCGGAGGCCACCGGTGTCCGCGCCTTCCCTTCGGGCTTTCGTTATGAACGAGGGTGAGGACGCGGGACCGCCCGTTCCTTAAGTGAATGAGAAACTCCGTGGATGGAAGGTAGGGTAGGCTTGCGTGTGTTGATATGTGAGACTGTGTTCGAACGATACTGCTTTTCTTTCTTTCGAGCCCTTGGAAATATGTTACTAATGGGAAACAATTGCCCCGACGTTCGAAAATTTATTTATAAGTTTATCTCGTGTGTTAGCAGAGTGTTTTGTGTATGCGTGACATTCATTCTTGCCCTAAACTCCACTCTCCAAATCTCAACAGACCAGGTTAAAGAACAAAAGTCATTCATAATCCTACCAACCACACTACCACTGTCAGAATTTATAATCCATTTTTTCATCCTTTCCTTTGTGAATACATACGTATACATGTTATTGTATATATGATACATAATATATACGCAATATATACAGCATGCTACATGCAATATATAATACATAACATGCAATATGTAACAGTGCATACAATGTATAATATTTAACATGTTTAACATATTACATATAAATTTTAAAATGGTAGTCAATACGCCTATCATCAGCACACTAGGTGGATGGGGCAGGACGGTTGTAAATTACAGCCTAACCTAAGCGACATATCTGAGACACAGTCGCAAAAGCCCCAAGAGCGCTGGGGCTGTAGATCTGTGTGGGAGCCCTGTGTTCAATCCTCAGCGCAGCTTGGAGGGAGTTGCCGTCATGTTACACATACAGTTCTGTAGCGTCTGGTTTTCATTTACCAGGACGTGGTTGATATCTTTACATTTAAGCAGTTAGAAGATTATGCAACACTTTAGTTTTTCGTGTTATATAACTAAATGCATCTATTCCCCCCTGTGTAATTTAGGTGTTTTTATCAGCAGTGTGCTTATCAGAAACTATTTAATACATGTTAGAATGCACTTTTCTATTTTTTCTTTTCTGGAGCGAGTAGAGGGCTATTTATTGTAAGTGAAACTAATGGCCCTAAAAAGAATACCACTATTAAACTGAAGTGTTTTTTTTTTTTTTTTTTT